TTCAATTAACGGTGCAAGCAACGACAACAACAACATCAACGGGGCCAAAACTTATTGATTATATTGCAACAGAGCCGCGCCGCTGCCGCCGCGCCGCGCGAACTTCTTTTGATCTCGCCCCTTTTTCTTGTGTTTTTCCCACAGTGTATACCACCGCGCGACGGGAGTGTCCCAGGAGGCGCGCCGCCGCCGCCGCCGCCGCTGCCGCCGTGGAAATGATATATTTCCAAAAGAGAAGCGCGGGCACGTCGAGGTTAGAGGCACACGTCACCGCCGCGTCCGCCTGTCCTCCGTGCCTCACCTGTGCGACTACAGGTGCGTGTAAATCAAGTTTACTTTCTAAGTGTAATATCATTTTGGTGCCATGTTCGATGTTCGTCTTCCTGATTTAGATACACTAGGACATATATATTATTACCGGGTTGGCACAAACCTGGATGGAACACATGGAAAGTTAGGAAGATAAAATATTTGTCGAGAAGTCTTGAAAATTGATCGACGCTAAAAAAAAAAATTGAATATATAGGTGGTCGGTGAATGTTTGATCGCTTTTCTCGTTCGTCCCTAATACTTATATGTGAAAAAAGTTCCTAAATTTCAAATTTAAAGTCTCGGAAAGTGAGTGACAATGCGACAAAATGTGGGAATCGTCCTCATACAACCTCGAGATGTTCTTTTGGGTGTTTTTTCTTTTTTTTCTTTTCAAGCGACGATAATTTGCCGCCCCTGCTTTTTGTCCCCTTTTTGTGCGGTTCATGGTTCATGGCGTGCACGTGTGTGCTCGCGACAAGTCCGATTTAACTACCAAAAAGATGCCCCGCGTCTTGGAGGCGGCTGGCCTTGGGCGCTGAGGATGAGCAACACTATTGATCAGGAAGGCGAGGGAGCGGTCCCCCCCGCCTCCCATGCTCCTCACCCTCGCGGACCGGACAGCCACCAGGGCGGGCGGGCGGTCCCATACTGGGCCTAACCCATCCGACCCCAAGGTCGTCTCAGCAGCGTCACTTACTGCCCGCCGCCGCTCCTGATCCGGGAGAGGAAGCAGAGAGAGAGAGAGAAAGAGAGAGAGATAAATTATGCACGCGGGGCAGATCGTAAAGCAGGTGCTGCCTCGGACCGTACGCGTCACTGCTTTTTGGCGATCTGTCATTTGATTGTTTTTTCATTGAAGAAGATAGGTGACCGCTAGCGACATTTTTTTTTCTTTGCTGGTCCAAGGGGAGTAAGATGACATGGAACACGTAAGTCTATCGCGCACCGTTTTATCAAGAAATACATTATTTTTCACTTTTTTATTTTGTCAATGTAAAGAAAAGTGAAACGCTATGGTGCTTACTCTAGCAACAGATATGCTTTTGCTGTGACACGGCCACGCGAGGCGAGATTTCGCTGACCAGCTAGAAGTCCCTCCTCGCTGTCCCCCACTCTCTTGTTCGTCACTCCTCACTCTGCTCCTCTCGCGCTTCATCACTCTGTCCTTGTCGCTCCTCCCCCGTGACGATTGAACGATGGCGATAAATTCGGGGTTGATGGTGCACATGCCCGACTTGGCGCGCGCGCCGCCGCCGCCGCTGATGCGGGGAAGTGAAATTTGCGCCCGCTGAGCAAGCACGAGAGAGAGAGAGAGAGAGAGAGAGAGAGAGAGAGAGAGAGAGAGAGAGAGAGAGAGAGGAGGGGGAGTGTGCGCGTGTGTCAACTCAACTCTACCCGCCCGCGTCACGGAAAGTATGGTCCAGACTCGACAACAACCGGTTCTGCTCTGCTGTGAAGCAGTACCATCCTCATCTCTTCCCCTCTCTCTCCTCTCTCTCTCCGTCTCGCGCCTCTCCTTCGGCGGGGCGTGGCGGGGAGCTGCTGTTGTCGCGGAAGCCGCCCGCTTGCCATCCATCCCGACCGGAGATTCGGGACCGTAGCCACGTGTCTCTCCACAGTTGTCATTTCGACATCTTTTTTTTCCCTCCTTTTTTTTGTCGTGCGGTAGAAAACAAAAAACACAGACGATACCTACAAAATTCATCGATGACAAAGCCGCCGGCTCGGGCGATATCGACACGTTTGTACAATTGTCCCTCACCTTACCTTGCTCTAGAAATTCCGCCAATATCTCCCACTAAACGTATTCACTGCTTCAGGGTAAACTTCGACGAACTGCACTAAAAACCCAAGTGTATCAATGTCGCACACTTGTAGGTGAGTAAATTTTCGTTCGCCCACTTAGCGTCCAGTATGGTCCAAATTATGCAGTAAAATTCGTACGCTTTTGTCCACAAGTATACGAGCGGAAATTCACACACCTACAAATGTGCGACATTCACACGCACACTGCTTGCGGAACAGTGTAGTACCGCTGTGCCCTGCCGCGCCCTCTAGCTCCGGCCCGAACGCGCCGTGACGTCCATTTACGCGCGTCGGAGTGGGATGCTGTTGGGGGGGGGGTCGCTAAGCGGCGTGTTACGACTCCTATCCACGCATGCGAATTCGCGAACCGCGCCGGCCGCGGCGATAGTGGTGGCGTGGTGGTGCCGTATGGTGAAACGGTGTCGCAAGGCGCGTCGCGTATGTGTGTGTGAGAGAGGGAGGGAGAGGGAGGGAGGGAAGAGGGGTAGGAGGATTGTGCCCGCTTAATCCTATTGCGTCTTAGAACCACTTACGCATTTTGTCACACAGGGAGGCGAATCCCTATGTAATGGCGGTATACGGTACCCACGTGAAAAAATAATGTCCGCGTTTCCACCCCACTCGCGCTCCCATGTTAAATCATAGGCACCAAAAATGAGCCGCGAGGCACGTACTGTTAAATGCTTACGGCGAATTTAACTGTATGCTACAGCGACCCTGCAGCACCGTAGCCTACGGTTAATTTTAAACGTAGGCCTCGGCGAATGCTACTGTAAGCTACGGTGAATCAGGGTGCATCACTGTAACCTTCGGTGAAATTCATCGTAGCTTACGGTGAAAGTTGACCGTACGCTACAGTGATGCAGGGTTCGCTGTAGCTTACGGTGGAATCCACCGTAAGCTTTGTTTCAGTGCGTGTAAAGTCACGCGACGTCGCGCTCGACGGGGCCGCATCTTGCCCAGGAGAAAAAAACATGCACGTGTACCATGTAAATACAAGATGGCAGCAACACTAAACATAAACACATATAAACCCAACTTAAAGTGCTACATTGATGAGTAAAATAACTAGGAAAACATGAAAAAATGCCCCAAAAACTTAAGATTAATCCGGATCGACTGAAAACTAAATAAAAGTTCAATGCTAGAGTAAACTTGTAGGGATTGATGCCAAGCTCAACTGCTTGTACATCATAAAACTAAGACCGCGGTATTTAAAACTAAGTGCGCACACAATAAGAGCTCATTTCTTTCATTATTTCAGTTTTTTATAGCGCTTGTAATTCTGATAT